TGAATTCGGCCTCTATCGATCGCTAATAGGAACTGTAGGCAAAAGCCAGTTGAATCTAGTTGAATGGTTTTCCCCGTGGTGAGAAATGTTAACGATACACTATTACTGGCGCAATGTTGGTTGATAATCACTCATTGTGTCATTGATCATCTAGGTACGGCAACACTCATCTAGCTCTTACACCCTTTCGGTGTCTGGCTCCCATGCCAGTCGAAGGAAGCACGAAACCTGAAAAATAATCATACACTGGCTATTGCTGAAGTGTAAATAACGAAACCACAGGAGCTACATACTGTCGGGTTGTCCAAACTTAGACAGGACTAGTTCGAGGTGAAGAAGTTGGGTTCGAACCCAAGGACATTCCAGGCAGTAAGCTCGCAAATTAACCACTGAGCTCTCTCACCTGTATGGTGAAAATGACGACCCTCCTGGAATAGCACAATCTCTGGTGATACCGTGTGGCAAATCGACCTGCTGCCGACAATGCGCACTCACCTACGGCTTCATCTGGTTCTGATAGAAACGACTGAATCTCTCTTCTTGAGAAATACACTCATTTGCAAATCAATTTGGTTTTTACGGGAGACTCAATTGAATCTCTTGTTTATGATGTCCTCCAGCTGAATGTGCTGCAAACGGGTCGGCTCATAGGTCAGTTGGCACGATATTCGAGATATCGCAGTATATTTTCACAAAGGAAACTACTCACAAGGTTGCTGAAAACTCTCTGACAGCCCGCGACCGGTTTCGCCCTTCTTGAGGCTCATCAGGTAGGCGCAGTCCCCGAGTTTCCGTCAACCTTATGATCTACTTGAACCCAAATTGCACCGTTTTCGAGAAATACACTGTCGAAGAGTTTTCAGAAACTTGTGAGTAGACTGAATCTCTCGTTTGTGATGCTCTTCAGCACTGTTGGCATGATATTCGAGATAATGCGGTATATTTCTTGGCATGACACAGTACTCATATCACCATCATCATCATCATCATCATCATCATCATCATCATCATCATTATCACCTGTAAGAACCGCGTACTTGTCGTACGGTGGCTGTAGCAGCTGCGGTTTTGTTCACCGATGATTTGGGGAGGTGGATAGGTAGCTGTAGGCGGGAGCTGATAAATTGGTGCGTAAATACTGGGTTGATTTTTAATTGGAGAGATCGGGCGGGGAGTTACGCATTGAAGGTAATAGCTTGGATGCACGAGCGCCATTGAGAGCGCCATATCTGACAATGTCTCCAACCATTGATGTGGCCTGTCTCCCATCCAAGGAGACGATAATGGCCAGCACAGATAAGATTGCTGATAATGGCTTCCATACTTCGCTGCCCAATCGTTGTTTGGTCACCCCTGGCTCGTTTCTACCCTTCGTGTGGTTCTGCGAAAACAAACCCTTCGGTCGACGGGCATAGGCAGCACGTGGCCAGTCCAAACCAACATGTAGATTGTGACCCGTTCATCTACCGTCATGGAGTTATTTCTTCTGAATACAATTCACTGCATTTCAGTATTACTGATCCGATTTTCTCACCAGACTCGGGCAGTGCTCCGAAGACATCGGTGGTCAAACAATGAAAGATTTTTGAAGTCTTCGGCGCGCAGCGGCCAGGTTTCTGATCCGTAAAGTAGTATGCAGAGCACCGCAACACTGTGAACACGACCCTTGACGGATAAGCTGATGTCACACCTACGCCACCGGTGATGCAGGCTCACAAAGGCCGTTCTGACTTCCCCAATGCGAATGGAAATATCAAATTTCGCTATACCAACGGTACTGATACAGGTACCCAGATAAACAACCTTGTCTACTACCTCGATCGGTTCATCCGCAAGCATGAGGCTAGGGTTCGAGCCCACCCAGTCTTGCAGTAGCACTTTGCACTTTGCATGCCAAACCATGAGGCAGAATTATTTAGATTAATCAATATTGTTTGCATTACCACGGGGTCAGATCCAAGGAGACCTATGTTGTCTGCGTACTCGATATCTGTGGGCGGACGCCCCGGGAAGATGGTGGAAACTCGGGGGACACACTAACCTGATGAGCCCCTAGAAGGGCGAAACCGAATTTCGTTTTTTGTTTAAAGATATGCACCTTGCAGTAGAATTACGCGACCGCTCTGTTTTTTTTCCAGGCATTACTTTAGTCACTGGAATGTCAAAGTGCCCCAACTTTGGTGGAACTAAACAAGGCAGAATGCGTCAACATAGTGAGCTCAAGGCTACAAAAGAATTGGCAGGAGACAAAAAATGAAGAAGAGACGAACTTTGACATAACCAGATGTGCACTCTGAGTCTCGTGATCAATCGAAACTCCTATTTCTCTTGAGAACACAGTGGTGTTCAGGTATGAATTAGCCACACTTAAAAGATACTAAAAATCAATCGAATAAGCTGCTGTTTGTACTACTAATTTAGGATTGGTCGAAACAGCATGTGAGGCAAACCGATCGAATATATATTGTTTGCTTTGCTACTGAATAAAAAGGAATTATTGATCGGCTGGATAAATACAACCGAGTGCAACACTCGGCTAGTGTTGAATGGCTGTAGTCCGGAGGTCTCCCATATGTGGCGCTTCTGGAGGGAGCAAAGTCAAACACAACGTGTTTCGTCAATACTGCCTAGTCCATGTGGGCTTGCAGCACGGTGAACGCGTAAGAGTACTACCAACTGAGAGTGTATTGATAAAAAATGTCTAGAAAGTGAACTTGATGTTCCATAATGACACTGGAACGTTTTTACGCAAGCTGTTTGTGTGGTTTTCAATCTGCAAAATCTAAGATGCCCTCTACATGTCGTTTGTAGGGATATAATCAGCTAGCTGTCTTCCTATCATACTTAAAACGATATCTGCTAAGAAAGATCCGAGAGAGCGACCGTTTTCTCCTCTAAACTTCTACAGTTGCTTATAACTAAACCGGAAGTGGTTGGGAATGCAAGGGATCGTTTGCCAAGGATGAGTCAGAGACTCGATGATAGGATTTGCATCAGACCAGAGAACGGACATAATATACTACTCATAAGGTTTCTGAAAACTTTTCGACAGCCCACGGCCACACACGTATCACGATATCTCGAATATCTTGTCAAGTAAAACATGAGGGGGCCTGGTGCAGCACATTCAGTTGCTTAAAAACATCACAAACGAGAGATTCAGTTGGGTTTCAGGTGAGTCTCTAGTCAAAACCAAAATGGTATGCCAATGAGTGCATTTCACCAAGACCGGAGATTAGTTGTGCGGGTTCTCTATCGTACGCGAAATCCCCACATTGAGAACAGTCGCGAAGCGTATGAACAAATTGATGGAGGCTTGATTGTATGTCTCTCTGTGAATGTCTGCTTTGGGCGTGAGTGAAAAACAGTTTGCCAGTTGTATCTATCATACGACGCACACACTGATAGCATTTACAACTTACAACTTACTTACAAAAAACCCTCCAGTTTCATTTGAGGCTGAAACAAATAAACGACTCGCATTTTTAGATAATCCGTTTGTAAATTCAGTGCACCACAAGCTCATATGGAGTGAATACTATTTACAGTTTTCAGTTTGCCTGCTCTAATTCAAAACCCGATGAGAGTTTTGCTCAGCCGCGCTCGACCTAGTTGTGCTCATGACTCCCTCACCAGAAAGGGATTATTGAGAGAAACTCACCAACCATACATACATGGAACATCGCTCAGTGACGAGATTGGAGGTTTTCATCAGACTGATTTGCAGAAGACCACGTGACCATACGGCATAAGCCAAATACCGCATTCGGTCGTAGGTATCCAGTCGCTCAATTGGACTTCCCTCTAAGGCAAATCTATCACCTCTTGCCCTCAAAACCTCTGAACTCCTACTTGGAACCTAGCAGTTTCTGGGTATCCTACAGGTTAAAACAAAAAACGAAACCTGAAAAATAATCATACACTGGCTATTGCTGAAGTGTAAACAACGAAACCACAGGAGCACCAGAATTGTGGATAATCGATCAGGAACGACCACTTGTAGGTAGGCCAGTGGACGAGATTTGACCTTGATAGACTGAGGGGGCGAGATAGACCAAGTGGTTAGAGCGCGAATTTACTGACCGGAAGGTCCGAAACCGACCTCTGCCTATCGACTTCCCCTGTCTAGGCTTGGACGACCTGACAGTATCCCAGCCCTCGTGCTTCCTTTGTGTGGCATGGCGGCTAGGCAGCGGAAGGGTTCTACAGCTGAACGATTTTTTTGATAGACTGACATCATCACAGACCGAGCTGATTGATTTCGTTCATCTCTATTCATTCTCACATCATCTGAGCTCTCATTTCCTCATCACCTCACACTGCAGACACGGTGTGAAAATCATTTTACCCATGAACTTCTGGAAGGAACATGGAGTGGTTTGATCTTTAGTAAGTAGCTCTGAGGTGAGAGCTTTTTCAAAGCCTTCTTGAAGGTCTCCTTGAATACCTCAAGTAGTGAGAACTGTTCGCTATCAGTTAAAACGTCGTTTGTCCCCCGCACCTATAAACATTGTTCATGGTTCTCTATAAGTTGAAATTTCGTTCCTAAAGGACCAAGCTGGAAGAATTCAGCCGAATGTCAGCCGAAGCAGATGACTAACCATGAATACCGAGACCATATATGTTTCCCTGTGCTTCCACCTTTCTATCTACAGTGTTTCAAGACCCACCGTCTCAGAAGTGGTGATCTTATCTGCTGATCAGCCTGGACTTCCGGTTGGAACCTTGTGGATTTTTCGACAACTGCGAAAAATTGAAAGACGAGAAGAGTTGTTCCCTAGATCCCGATCTGTCAAGAAATTCGCAGGTTAAAAACAGAAACATGCAAAACGATTGAAAGTGTCCTAACAGTTGTTGGTGGAGCGAGATGGCCCAAGTGGTTAGAGCGCGAATTTACTGACCGGAAGGTCCGAACCCGACCTCTGCCTATCGACTTCCCCTGTCTAGGCTTGGACGACCTGACAGTATCCCAGCCCTCGTGCCTCCTTTGTGTGGCATGTCAGTTAGGCACCGAAAGGGTGTTACAGCTGAACGACTACAGTTGTTGTGACATTCGAACAACAACAGCAATGAATCATGCGTTTCTTCAAAATCACGGGAAAATATTGCAAGCCACGGAAATTGGCAGCTAACGAAATGAAAGCTGTGAGTACGACAACAGAAAGTAGATTGCTCAAGGGAGTTAATTTATGTTTCCCTATTCCTCAGCCTAATTCACCATCCTTCCGGTGACTGCCCAAGTTTCAAGACTGAAATATCCTATTTTATACAAAGTCAACTTTATATTAACTGTTTTCATGACTCGATTTATTCACATTCATTTCTGGGTTTGTCTCCGTTTGAACTGCACAACATTGCTCCCGTTTGATTTGTCCGATAACACACTGTCCTTTCTGTGCCATCCTGTGTTGCCAACTGCACAAGGTCCAGTCTAGCCGTAAGCTTTCCTTTAATTTTGCTCATTATTTACTATTAATTTCTTATAGAATCACGGTCTACCTAGCTATACTGTCTGCCCACGTCCAATTCGATATATTGTTCACTGCCCAACTGCGACTACTGAACAAACGCAGGTGAAGCTCGTAGAATTCGGTTTCGCCATCGTTGAATTAGACTACACGTTACCTGTCATATAGGACACCTAGATCGTGTGTTTAGGCAAACTTAGCAATTCCTTGCCAGCACAGGATCGTACAGACGGTTTTCTCTGATGTGTGTAATTTTGGGATACCTCAGACTGTCGGATAAAAACCACGCTCTTGGACAAGACGAGTGAGACAATCACGCTTGTGTGAAGTTTCCATCATCAAACGTATTTTGCTCGGGAATCCAGCGGTAGACTTTGTTCTAGAGCCTACACGTTTCAGCCCAACACATCCTTTAGCACGAGGCCACTGCAAAAAGTGTTCATACTGGGACATCCACTGATGTGAATCTTTTGTGTCGCGGCTCCGAACCTGGGGCACTCTCTTGGACAGTGTTCAACTTCAAGCACGATTGAGAGAACAATCCCTCTAAACTGATTAATAAAAACCCTCCAAGGAATAACCGTGTTTGTCCGTCCTTGGGGAGTAACGAAAAAGTAAATCAACCAATGTGATAGATGTATTCGGCAGATTCATACCAGATGATTCTAAATCATTCTAGTCCGCGCTCGAAAAAAGCCCGTAATTGTCAAGTTGAAAACTGTGGAGTATGGTTGGGATAGAGTCTTACTAACTATACTGAAAAAGTTCTCTGGTAAGCACAGGAATGAAAACACCAACAGCTTAATGTTTACGTTCTGCAATTTAGGATCGATTTTGTGTTTTTATTTGGCGAAAAATTTCAAAATACGAGCCATATTCTGGTATTGTTTTGTACTTTAGTGTGTTCGCCTGGCTACATCAAATCGGTGCAGTGCTTCCGAATGCAGTTCTCACCTGAATGAGCGGCCATTCACAAGGGTCTTGTCAAAGTCTAACCTGGTCAAGGACTTGTGCAATCAAGTCTAACCAACGTTGGAAACAGAGTGGCTATCAAAGTGACCTTAATCGCTTACTGTCAGAAGTACTTTTATAACCGCATGAGTCCGTCACCTCTGAACGATCTTAGACCACCCCGACCTTTTGTTGCAGACGGAGATGTCTGTGAACGACGTCTTCAAAGATGACAAAATAACGGCCATCTGAATGAGTATGGCGAACGAAATTGGTGTTTTGATGAACAAAGCAACCATGTTGACTGATCGGAAACGTAAACAAAAGCCTTTTGGTTCCCCATTGAAGATCCTGGTTAAAGCAGACAGACTGTCATACACTGTGTAAACCATAGGGAGAGCAATCCGGGATATTTTCAACGGGACCCCAAATAAAAGTGCAATAAAACGATGATGCCAAGATTAGGGTACTGCTTAAAGTTAGTCAAAGGATGAATTTCACCGGCAGTGCACTGAGTGTCGTGGTTACAAGACGCAAGACCACGGCCACACGCGCTGTTGAGGCGTCGCATGAGGTACGAGGGATTTCAAACGATAAAAGCGATTTCGCGCACGCCGCCTCATTTCAGCGGTTGTTCTAAGCATGATTTTCACGAAAGCGAAGAAAGCGATCAAACCACCTGATCAATAACCTGCCGAGAAATGAATAACGTTGGTGAAAGTGAGATTTTCTAAAATGTTAGAAAATGACTGAGATCCAATTTACTGATTGAGCCTTTCTATTGCCAGATTTGC